CGCTGGCTGACCACTGCCCGTAACCAACAAAACCAGGCGTAATACGGTGGTTTCGCAAGTCTGCACTTGCACCGTCACCAGCCGAAGCACGACCACATTTTCGAATTCCGTTCAAAATCCTTTTCCTATCCATATCTTGGTACTTTCTTATTATTTTCTCACTTTAGGTTCATAATGTTCTGCGTTCAAAATGTCTGGCATTCGGCGATTTCTTTTGTTTCCAATCGTTGGAGGTTGAAGCTTTTAGAGTCACGATTGAGTTTGAGATTTGGCCTTCTGCTTAACATCCACCAAGAAAAATCGCGTACCAGTATTTTCCTGCGCTTTCCTTCCCTGAATGATTTTTAAAGCTCGCAAGTTTTAAGTGTTTCTTCGCAGATGTCTATGGACGGTCCTTATATCCTTTTAAATCACAGAGGAGATAACGGCTCAGTGGAAGTGAAAGAGGATTAGAGATTCATGCAGTGCTAACAACTTGTTTACGGCGAAGTGAGATAATTGATCATATTATTATTTATTATTATGATTCCCTCAAATGAAATTTTAACTGTATCTGGAAATCGCCCGCACTTTTAATATCATTGAATGGCTTGGAATTATGGATTGCTTTGCGACTCTCCTCCCGCATTAGATTTTTCTCGCTCTTAGGTATTAGGCGACGATCTGTAGATGTGTCCTGGTAATGGATTTGACGTTTATTTTGACACCGTGCCCCTAACAAAAGTCGCTTTTCGTGATTAGGCCAAAAACTTCAACTCTAGGCAAAATTGTCATCGGGGTCAAAAAGTGTCACACCCGTAACCTCCTTTTCTTTATTTGCGGAAGTTGTGCTGTAACAGTCGAATAGTGCCGCTATTTCTTCTTTCGAAAAATATGGTTCATTGCAGGAGCAATGGTGACTGTGTTGAAAGAGATCCCCACTCTTTTTGACAAGTGTTGGTCACTATTTAACGTAGCTTATTTACTATTCATTTTATAAGCTAAATTTCATCTTCGATGATTAAAAGCATGTTACTCTAAATGTAATGTTCAGTTGGCGTAGCTCGCAATGTGCTGGAGAAGATCTCCTTGTGGCGAGGTGACATCACACGTCTCGAAGTTGACGCCATTGTCAATGCGGCCAACAACGGGCTGCGTGGAGGTGTGTTATCCATTCAGTACCTTCCTTTGTTAGTGCATGTTAGGTTGTTAAACAAATAGTTAATTAGTGTCTTGCCTTGAATCTT